TATGAAAATTGCAAGAGTTTTTAACACAATTGGTTCCCAAACTTATCGTAATTTTAGTAAATTGCCCCCTAAATTTTTTATTTTAACAATCAACCCCCTGAATTTGTAAGATTATTACAATGTGCCCCATTTTATTAAATTTGCTCAAATTTTTTATTAGATTTAAGTGATTAAATTTGAGTAATTGAAATATTTGTGTTTCATTTGAATTGGGTTGTTAGAATTTTTCGTCGAACATATTTTTATGATACTAATTTAAGTATTTAACACAATCATCGTAAAAAATGGAGTATATTGCAATAATTTTACAAATGGAGGGCAACTTGTCAAAGTTAAAAGTTTAGGGGACAAATTGTTAAAGCCATACAAGTTTAGAGACAAATGTGTAAAATATCTGAATTGAAAAACAAGTAAGTTTATGAGATAGTAATCCTCAAGAAAATTGTAAAAAAAAAAAAAAGAAAAAAAAAAGAGAGAGGTTAGATAGACAAAAAAAAATTTGCAGCAATCGGCTCAACCTGAATAATATTTTTTCAATGGGTGGTTCTAACTCTTTTTTTTTTCTCTCCACACCTTCATTTAAATTAAAATATCATCATAAAAAAGATATCACATAAAATATAAAAATTGACAATTATAATAGACAATTATTATAAATACATCGTTATAAATTGAGGCCGTTTGGTAGAGGGATTCGTTCCCTGATTCGAATCATGATTCGTGGTTCGCTATAGTATTTTCTCTCACAAAAAATACACGTAAATAAAAAATAGTTCGAATCACATGGTTTGAATCCTCCAACCAAACGTCCTCTAAAATATCCTATCATAAAAAAGATATCACGTAAAATGATAAAAACTGACAATTTTAATAGACAATTATTATGAATACAATGTGGAACCAATTTATCAAAAGTACAATGGAGTGGATGATCCATAATGATATTTATGAATTTCTTGTATTATGAATTATTTGTCATAATTAACTTCATGCCCGAGCATTTTAACATTAGTTTTTGATGAAAAATAATGTTATACTTAAAAAGAGGAGAACTTTTGTAGATCTTTTCGTAAAAAAGAAACGCTTTTGGGGCATAAGGCACAAAAATGTCGCAAGAGATTGACATCTCTCTTGACAATGAAAAACTTTGAGGACTCAAGTATTAAAGTTCTTAATATGGAAATTAACGATGCCATCACATCAACAGTTTGGATACTGCAAATGTCTGAATTCTTAAAATGGACTAATGATGCCAACGTATGAGTTTAAGGAAATTAAGGATGCGTTTGAAATTCATTCTAAAATGATTTTATTTTTTGTATAAATATAAAAATAAAAATATTTTCAATTTTAGATAGAAATTATTTTTAAAAATACATTTGATAGTTTTATCAATAGATTATTTTCAGTATAAAAAAATCCATAAATATCTCTCTCTATACTCGAGAGAGGAGAAAACGAAAATAAAAATTGAAAAACTACTAAAAGTCATTTTTCACTTCTTTCCCATTTTATACTAAACTAAAAAATCATTTTCATTTCTGTTTTTTTGTTTTTAATTATGTCAAATGCCGCTTTTTTCCTATTTTCATTTTTTTTTTGAAAAACGTGAAAAATAAAAACAAGACCAACTTCAAACACGGCCTAAGTATCCAAATTCTTAAGATGGAGACTAGCAATGCCAACATATTAAAAGTTTGGAATGCACAATTTATTACAATGGGGACTTAAGTGCCAAAAGTTACAAACTATGGGATCCATATCCCAAAATTCCCATTTTCATTTTGGGGACTAATGATGCCAACTTATTAAGAGTTTAAGGAAATTAGGGTGCGTTTGGAATTCATTTCATATATGAAAATGAAAATGAAAATGTTTTTAATCTCAAATAGAAATTACTTTTAAAAATGCGTTTGGTAGTTTTATTAAGAGATTGTGTTATGTATAAAAAAATCCATTAATATATCCCTCTCTGTGCTCGAGAGAGGAGAAAACGGAAACAAAAATTAAAAAATGACTAAAAGTCATTTTTCATTTCTCTCTCATTTTATACTAAACTAAAAAATCGTTTTCATTTATATTTTTTGTCTTTAATTGTGCCAAACGCCGTTTTTCTCCTATTTTCATTTTTTTCTCAAAAAATGTAAAAAATAAAAACATGACCAACTTCAAACGGCCTAAGTGTCCAAATTCTTAAGATGGAGACTAGCAATGCCAACATATTAGGCCCCGTTCACTTCGCTGATTCGAGTTTAAAATTTGAGTTTTTCTATAGTAAAAAGCTCTCACAAACAATCACATCTAACTTTTTTGCTATAGTAAAAAGCTCTCACATAAAGTCACATCTCAACTCAAATTCTAAACTCGAATCAGCGAAGTGAACGGGGTCTAAAAGTTTAGAATGCACAATTTATTACAATGGGGACTTAAGTGCCAAAAATTACAAACTATGGGATCCATATCCCAAAATTCCCATTTTCATTTTGGGCCCGGACTCGCTCGATTCCGGAACGAGACTAGCAATGCCAACATATTAAAGTTTGGAATGCACAATTTATTACAATGGGGACTTAAGTGCCAAAAATTACAAACTATGGGATCCATATCCCAAAATTCCCATTTTCATTTTGGGCCCGGACTCGCCCGATTCCGGAACTCAACCCAGCCGTTCCCTGTTCATGAAATTATAAACCTCCGGAGACTCTGACAGTTCTCGTTACTCAGTTCTCTCTCTCTCTCTCTCTCTAGGATTTTGGTTGTCGGACTTGAAATGCGAAAATGGATCAAAACCAAAGACCTTCCTCAGCTTCGAGGGCTTACCAGTTCCACCCAGGCCGAGCCGCTATCATCAATCTCTTTGATCTCTATTTAGGAGTATATCTATATCTATATATATAACCTTTGCTATCTCGTTTTCATTTCTTTTCGTTTTCTTCCATTTTCTAATTCTTTTGTGCAATATTCAATTCTTGCAGCGAAGTAGCCGCCAAAAACCTGACGATGCAACTCGGGAACCTCCGTAAGTTCATACTACGTTTTCTCTCTGTCTGCTTTGTGTTTTGATTTTCAATTTTTGCATAATCTGAGATAGTGCTTAGTGATTATTAGCTAATACACATTTTTTTGTTTGCTTTTTTTTTTTTTTTTTTTTTAATGAGTAGCTGAAATATAAGTTTGTGTATGAATACGTGCGATATGTGTACTTTATACTTATGACCACACATTCGGGCTTTTTTTTTTTTTTTTTTTTTGTTTCTTTTTGGTATGAAATATGAGGAAAATGAGAGTGATTTGGAAAATTCATATAAAATTTGATGATTGATACACATGGAGTGAGAAAAAAGCTTCACCCATTGTTCTGTTAGTACTGAATAGTTTTATGTTTAGTGCCTAGTGCCTGAAACTTCATATGGCATGAGAGCTCGTACTATGGATTTACCAATCCAATTTTCGGGATTAGCAGAGCAGAAATTGATCGATACGTGATCTTTGTTTCCTTATTGTGCGCCTTTTCGGGATAAGGAAAAAATGAATTAACACTGGGGTTTTGTTACATGTATTTTTTATGTCAAAGTTTGTGCTTTTATTTCTATCCTGTTTTGTTTAAAGTTGCCTTATTAGTTCTCTGAGCTGATTTTGGCTCTCTCTCTCTGATGCCTTACAGAAACAAGACACAAAAGCGTGTGATTGCTCTTAACAGAGAGCTACCTCCTAGAAATGAGCAGTTTCTTATAGATTTTGAGCAGATTCAGAGCCAGTTTTCTGTAAGCTACGGAATTTCAACTAACTTCTTAGTATCATATATTGTTTCTTTCGTTCTTTTGTGTTTGATTCAATTATATCTTTCACCTTGATATGAATAATTGAATATATGACTATTGTATGTCTATGCTGTGCCGCATTCTTCAGGACCAAGAACAGTTGCGTGCTGTCACAGAATCTGTTCTCATATCTCTGGTTGTGCAGTGTAGTAGTCATGCCCCACGAGCAGACTTTCTTCTCTTTGCCTTACGTAGCTTGTGCAGTATTGGTTATATTAACTGGGACTCCTTTTTGCCGTCACTTCTTTCTTCGGTCTCTACGGCTGAAATGTCGGTGGGTCAGGGGACTCAATCAATCACTGCCGTTTCTTCACAGCCTGGGGTGCTGCCATCTTCGAGCACAATTACCAGTTCTGCTAACTTTCAGTCTTCAAATCCTGCCTCCCCTTTACCTTCAGTGCATGGTATTGGGTCCCCTGCCCAATCAGCTATTGAGCCAGCTTCTTGTGTAACTTTGTCACCGGTTAAGTCATCTGATGTGTCCGGCGCAGTACAACAGTCTAATTCAAGGGTGAATTCATTGATTAGAGATAACGCCATAAGCAGTTTAAGGCAACTCTGTTGCAAGATTATCTTAGCTGGACTCGAATTTAATTTGAAACCAGTAACTCTTGCTGACATTTTTTCTTATATGCTGAATTGGCTGGTTAATTGGGATCAGAAGCAACAGGGGATTGATGAATCTGATGTTGCAAAATCTGGTCGACCGGACAAGTCGTTAATTGAGTGGCTGCACAGCTGCTTGGATGTGATTTGGCTTTTGGTTGAGGAGGATAAATGTCGAGTGCCCTTTTATGAGTTACTGCGTAGTGGCTTGCAGTTTATAGAAAACATACCCGATGATGAAGCCTTATTTACACTTATTTTGGAGATCCATAGGAGGCGGGATATGATGGCCATGCATATGCAAATGTTAGACCAACACCTTCACTGCCCTACATTTGGAACTCAACGAATTATCTCACACATCACTCCCAATATTTCTGGTGAAGCAGTCACAAGCTTAAGATATTCTCCAATAACATATCCAAGTGTACTTGGAGAACCATTGCATGGAGAGGTAATGAATTTCTCTAAAAAATGGAAGGACGATATGATTCATATTTGGGGAACTAGTTTAGATTAGTTGAAATAGGATTAGGATACTCTAAAAATGGAAAGACGATATGATTCATATTTGGGGAACTAGTTTAGATTAGTTGAAATAGGATTAGGATACTCTAATCTGTTGGTGGTTGCACATTAAATGTGAAGTCGGTAGCTTGTGTCCAATCTTTTATAATAACATGAAATTGGTCGTGTACTTTCATATCAACTTGCCCGACTTATCTTTTATTGTAGGGCCCTTTTGTCATTAGTTAAATTTTAAGAGGGGGCATAAGTCTGGGATTTCAATATAGGACACAACCGTTACACTTTTTAATTACTATTACAGTGTTCAGGAACTTCACTAGTCTTTTACTTGTGCACATTAACCAAAGAAAAATCCTGTCTAAAGGAACGTTTCTCTGCCATTCAGTGTTTTTGTTGTTTCATTGGTTGTCTTTTGGCATCTTATATTGTGATATTCTAGTTGATCCTAAAACGATGTTACTTGAAAAGATTGGGGAAATGATATGCTAGAGAGCCCTAAATCTGGAAGCTTAAAAACAGGACTCACATTCTATGTTGGGTCATGCATCCTTTTAAGTTGAAAATTTAACTTTTTTCATATTCAGTGGTTCTTGAACTAAATCCATTTTAAAATTTTCTTGTGAGAAAGTACATTATCATCTCATGGAGTTTGATTCCTTTGCTGATATATTCTTCCAGAAATAGCTAATGGCTAACTTTGAACTTTCATTTACCCTAAAAGGAAATAAAAAAAAAATGCCAATAAACAAGAAACGAAACAGTTGGCATGCCACAAGGTGGAATTTATTTATGATTGCTGCTAGTCATGAATATTTTGTGGAAATAGAAAAACTTTATCCTCATGTTATAGATTGGATTTATCTGTTTTCGCTGATGTAGGATCTTGCAACTTCTATTCAAAAAGGAAGTTTAGATTGGGAGAGAGCTTTGCGTTGTATAAGACACGCTTTTCGCAGCACTCCATCTCCTGATTGGTGGAAGCGTGTGTTGCTTGTTGCTCCTTGCTATAGGCCTCCTCCTCATGGATCTACTCCTGGTGCTGTTTTTAGTTCTGAAATGATTTGTGAGGGAACTATTGATAGAATAGTTGAGCTGTTGAAGTTGACAAATTCAGGCAATTCCATCTTCCTTCTCATGTATTAATTAATTTTATTTATTTATTTTATACAGCTGAAGAAAAGGATTAAACGTGATTGTTCCAATAACGTTCACTAGTAGAATACTGTAGCACTCTCTTCTTCTTTTTTTTTTTTTTTTTTTTTTCCCCTAATAACTTTTTATAAGGTCTGTTTTAAGTTTTAAAATTTCAAGATCTGAATGTTCTTGATGGCACACATCTGTTAAAAAAAAGGAAAAAAAAGGAGGAAGCAATTCACAGCTTGCTTGTTTAGGAAAAGTGGCTACAGTTAATAATGTTGTTTTAGTTTGTTCTTACTAAATGTTTTAGTCCTGATTTCCTATTTCGTTTGAAAGCACTATGCCATATGCTTGTTATAATGGTTGCTTGTAATTGATAGAAAGGAACAAAAAGAACAGCTGACAGGTTTATTGACTAAGAGAATATCTCATATCTTGTTTCTTACAGAGATCAATTGCTGGCAAGAGTGGCGTGTCTTTTCAGATATTTTCTTCTTTCTTATAAAAAGTGGGTGTATTGATTTTGTCGATTTTGTGGACAAGCTAGTTTCACGCGTCACAGAGGGTGACAACAATATTCTTAGGACAAATCATGTGACTTTGCTAATAGCAGAAATTATTCGGGTTGAGCTTGTGATGAATGCTCTGAATACTGATGCTAGAAAGGTTGTTCTTGAAATTTGAATATTCACTGCCACTCTTCTTCTTACTTTACTAAGATTCCATTTGATATCATTATTTTTATCTGTAGTCCACGGCTTTTGTACACCATATCAACTACGCTAATGAAATAACCTGTGGCACTATGATATCTGGTTTTGAGAAGCTACTTATTGATTCTTGGGCACATTGTTCAAATTGACAAACTTTGACCTTGAAATACAACGTTTCTTGTAGGTGGAGACAACAAGAAAGATTCTTTCATTTCATAGGGAAGATAGAAGCTCTGATCCTAATAGTCCTCAAGGCATCTTGCTTGATTTTATAAGCAGTTGCCAGAATTTGCGTATTTGGTCATTGAACACTTCTACCAGAGAATATTTAAACAGTGAGCAGCTTCAGAAAGGAAAGCAAATAGATGAATGGTGGAGGCAGGCAAGCAAAGGTACATCTAGATTTTATTTTATTTTTGTCAAAGTTGACATTATTTAATAAAGTGTCTGTTGTGGTTGTGAAAAATACACGTATCTTTATGGTTTACACTTTACAATCCTTATCTATTACATATAAGTTCATGCAGCCTATGAAATTGGACATATCCCTGATATAAACAGAGATGAGCTTGATACATATTGGAAATGAAGTAAATATTTTTGATGTAGGATCAATGTGAGAATGAGAATAGAGATAGAAGAATAGAAGAAAAGCCACTAGAGAGAGAAATAAGAACTCAAGAGAGAAAAACACTAATTTCAATATTCATAATCCATACTCTGAAATGAAATTACAATGCTACAATATTTATAGGCATCCAAATAACGAAATAGGAAAGTAAATCAAAACAAAATAAGGAAACTTTAATAAATGGGAAACTTAACCTAATTTCAAAATAACATAAATTTTAATAAAATCTTAAATATTAAAGCTAATTGATTTGTTCTCCATCAATTTTACTTCATTGATCCCCTTTTGAATCTTGTTTGTAAAGAGTTTGTTTTTGCCATCAATGTAATAAGTTACCATGACGTACAGCTAATAACAGCTTCTCTTCCAGCTTTGAAATATTGGAGAAAGTCGTATATACTATATAGAGAAAGTAGGTATCCCTGTGTTAATTGTAGCATAGTTCTTCACCATCTTCTTCTCTATATCCAAATGATGAAACCTTCTAGGAGATTAAATTTAATGGACTTTCGTTACTTTCATAACATCGTTCTAACAGATGAGAGATGGTCGTAACTGTCATTTTGATATGCTTTGTTGTGTGTATCAAGGGGCCCTGTTTTTAATATATGTTTTCCTTTTTTTAAAATCAGGAGATCGTATGATGGATTATATGAATATGGATGATAGGTCAATTGGAATGTTTTGGGTTGTTTCTTACACCATGGCGCAGCCAGCTTGTGAAACAGTGATGAATTGGTTATCCTCTGCTGGAGTTACAGAACTATTACCAGGAGCAAACCTACAGTCCAATGAGAGGTTAATGGTTATGCGGGAAGTAAGTCCTCTGCCGATGTCACTGTTATCGGGCTTCTCAATGAACATGTGTTTGAAGCTGGCATATCAAATGGAAGACTCATTATTTTTTGGACAGGTACTCTTTGTTTTTTCAGTGGTTGTTGGGGATTAGTTATAAAGGTTTGATAAGATACTTGGGCTAGTTCGTACTTTCTGGCTTGTGATAGTGATGTAAGTCCATTGGAAATGAAGGGAAGGCAGGCTCTTCTTTGTTAGTATTTAGTCTGGAAATATGTCCTATAATTCTCTCTTTTTTGTTAGGTAGGACTTCTAGTTGTCTGGTTTTGTAGGTTCTGAATCTCTTTCTATTACAGACATCCTTGCTTAAAAAAATCAAAAAAGGAAATAGAAAAGGCATATCTAGGAAACAATCGCAACATGGAAATAGTAATACAGCTAATGCTAGAATGGAAGAAAGTTGACAACAGAGAGTGTGGGAACTTTGATAGAGAGTTTCTGTTTTCAATAGTGTGAACTTTCGATAGATTTTATGTAAAATATATACCTAAAACTGGTATGGAGGGCAAATGAACAGATAAGTGAAAATATTGTTGTTTTGGACATGTTCACGGTAGATGACAGAATCAATGGTAAATGAAACCTGAAGCTTTTAAAAATTGGTGGTCAATTGATTGTCAACAATCCATTTGATAGCTTAAGATAAAAGAGTTATAGTTTTCTATACTTTGAAATTTTTGCAGAATAGTAAAATTACTAAATGCCAGATAGGCATCAACCTTAGCACATCTTCAGCATAAAAGAGTGATCTTCAATACAAAATAATGAACACTTGTAATTCATGCAATTTAGAAAACCTTAAAACGAGAGAAATGCCCACTATTTATTTGATTACTCCAATTAGTTGATTTCTTTGCCACTGCTCAGATGAGCATACAACGTATGAGCTAGATGCTCCCTTCTTTGCACTCTTATACTGTTGCATGCTCAACGGACTCACTGATTTCATTTTTTGTCTATGGATTTTTGAACCCTCTTTGACTTTTTTATTTTCGAAAAATTAGCAGGTTGTGCCCAGTGTTGCAATGGTCGAAACGTATACACGGTTGTTGCTCCTTGCGCCTCATTCCCTATTTCGCTCTCATTTCAGTGTAATCTAACTACTTCCAGTTACCAATGCTTCTTTCATTATTCTGAATTTTTCACGACTTGTTGCTTATAAGTCTTGATAGTGATGGCCTTTTGATAAATAACGAATGGAAATGCATAAATTAGCTTGCATATCCTTCGCTTCTATCGAGGCCTCCCCCACACCAACCATCAAGTTCCCATTTTCTTTTTTAGAAAAAATAAATTTCGAAGTAGAGGAAAGGAACTATCTGTCATGCTACTACAGAAGTACTTTCGCATATCCATACTCGTACAGAGCCGTAGGCCATGACTTTAATGAGGGGAAAATAGAAAGTCAAATCTTGTGTCACTGCTACAACCGGGGAACTTGTAGACTAAGCAAACATTTTTATAGATCTTCAGCATGAATTAGCCTTCAGCCTGTATCTTTGATTTTCCTCAGTTGGCTACAAATGCCAAAAGCGTAGTTCCTTTGTGATGGAGCTGTCATTAAAATTACCTTCTATTCATTTGTGCTTCTATAATTGTTAGGAGTCTCACTTTTCAGGAATGGAGCATTACGTTTAGCTTTACCTATTTTTTCATTTTTAGATATTGTAGGGTAATAAGAGAGCATAAGGCATTACTTCTTATCTTTGAAGCTCCTTTTTGTATTTTTTTCTTCTTATGTACTTTCCGCAAAGTCAATTTCATGGTTAACTGTAATTTCATTTTTTATTTGTTAATATAATGCTAGCCTATCTAAAAATTACTACCTCAGAGTTTAGCGCAAAAGAATCCGTCAGTATTGAGCAAGCCTGGGGTTACTCTTTTGGTACTTGAAATTCTGAACTATCGTTTGCTTCCACTTTACAGGTAATTATCTAAATAATCCATATCAGGAAATATCAGTTTAGTCTGACGTGTGGCTTATGTTTTCTATTATACAATTTTTTTATCTGGATTCCAGAATTGTCTTTTGTTTGCTTCTTTAGGTCCTGGGATTTCAGATGCTACATTTTATATCTATCTTTCATTTTCACTTATACTTGATATGATAACGTGGCAAGTTAAGTTGCAAAAAAGTTTTTTCTTCTTTATAGGTACCAAGGGAAAAGCAAAGCCTTGATGTATGATGTTACGAAAATAATTTCTGCACTCAAAGGGAAACGTGGAGATCATCGTTCATTTAGATTAGCCGAGAACTTGTGCATGAACCTTATTTTGTCATTGAGAGAATTTTTCTTTGTGAAAAGGGAAGGGAAGGTGAGTTTGTCTTCAAATTGAAACCTGTATCTGTTTGTATTTCCCAACAAAATAAACTGACAATCATGTTTCTCTACTTTTTGGCAGGGTCCAACTGAATTTACGGAAACTTTGAATCGGATAACTATCATTACTCTTGCTATAATCATTAAAACACGCGGAATTGCTGACGCCGATCACCTGCTTTATCTTCCAACTATGTTAGAACAGATTTTGGGAGGTAGCCAACATACATGGTCGGAGAAAACATTACGCTATTTTCCATCAGTCCTTCGTGATGCATTGATTGGTCGAATGGATAAGAGGGGCCTTGCGATTCAAGCATGGCAACAGGTCCTTTCCTTCCCCACCGGATGGTCCTTTCTCCCTTCTTTCTCTTGCTCTCTTCCTGAAAAAGAACTTGTTTTGTATTTTCAATTGTTTTTCAATCTATAATTTCCTCTTCCGTCATATATAGTTAGTTTTCAATATCAAGACTTGAACTGGGCCGTAGTGCCCAAAGGGTCTATGTTAATTACATTCTCTTAAATTAGAAATGAAATAGAACAATTAGTGTGGTTACACTAGTATTGTTTTCAGAATGAAGGGAAAAAGGTGGCAACTTCTAGAATATTCTATAAGCAAAATGGAAAACACAATATTTGCTGGTTTTGGACATTGTAGTAACAGATGAATCATGAAAGTAGTAAACATCGCATCAGAGAAAGGGAAAAAAAAAAAACAATATTTTGTCTCTCCTCCTTTCCCTCTTTACCTACTTCTCATCCTATTTTTTCTTCAATTATTCTTTTACAATACCCCCACAAATCCCCGCTGCAGAATCATCTTACCTACAACAACCAGAGCCATCCAAAATCCCCCACCACCTTCTGTTATCATGATCTCCTTATTGTAATCCTCAAATTATACACGTGGAAAGTTTCCGATGTCACTATGATCCCCTCCGTTCATTGTGTTTAAATTGGATCGACTTGTTCTGTAGGGGGAGCGTAAACTCATGTATTATAGATTATATTAGGGTCACTGAGTGATGGTAGGAGTTTGGCTACTGATTTTCTTCTTGGATTAATTTTTCAAACATCAACATGACACCAGAATCTCCTTTCCTTTTACAGGCAGAAACTACCGTGATTAATCAGTGTACTCAACTTCTTTCTCCATCAGCTGATCCTACTTATGTTATGACCTATATAAGTCATAGTTTTCCTCAGCATCGACAATATCTGTGTGCTGGTGCATGGATACTGATGCAGGGGCATCCAGAAAGTATTAACAGTGTAAACTTGGTACGTTGCTTAACCTGAATGACTATATTAATTTTTTAGTTACCTCATTGATCGCCAGATATTCTCTATTTGCTCACAGGCATTCATTTTTCTTCCCTGAGAAACTGCTATATATTTGTAGAATCACTTCTAAAAAGGTCTATTATATTAAATGGCGTTTAGGCACGTGTCTTGAGAGAGTTTTCTCCTGAAGAGGTGACATCAAATATTTACACAATGGTGGATGTACTGCTTCATCACATGCAATTAGAACTTCAGCATGGACATTCCTTGCAGGTTCAAGAGTTGCCGCTTGGAAATTTCTTTTAGGTTTTCATTGTCTACTACATTGTATCAGACGTCGTTCCATCTTTTCCTTTTCAGGATCTTTTGATGAAAGCTTCTACAAACCTAGCATTTTTTATTTGGACCCACGAGTTGCTTCCATTGGATATTTTGCTTTTGGCTCTTATTGACCGTGATGATGATCCTCATGCTTTGCGTATTGTGGTATGAAATTTCAATCTCTGTTTTTATTATATCGGTTCACTGTTGTCTTGGATTTAGTGTTTTTCGTTCAAGGTCTTTAGTTTTGATGTTGATTTTTCCTTGTCATCATCTACTAGAAACAATTTCATGGTTCTAGTTAATCTTCAAAAAGTCAAAACTGAGGTATATATGTTTTTGCTGCGGCAGTAGTGATGGAATTGGTATAATTTGTAGATTAGTCTGCTTGATAGGCAAGAACTTCAGCCAAGAGTGAAATTATACTGTATGAATCGAGGACCTCCAGAGCATTGGCTTTACAATGTAATGTTCAAGCGAATGGATTTGCAGAAAGCGTTGGGGAATCACCTTTCATGGAAGGACAGGTGATATACCTTATAAATTTTAACTTGCTTAGTTGAAATTGTAAAATTTGGCCTGTATGGTGAGATCAAACCTGTAAGATGTGCATCTTGACCATATCCAACTCTATGAAATAATACTCCGTGAATATGTGATAATCTTGCCTTCTGTAGTCACACACACACACACACACACATATATATATATATATATATATATTCTCATTGCTATCTTCCCTATAATTTTTGTTTCGTCTCTGCATTTGTCTTGCATTCATTTCAATCTAACGTAGCAATATATTTACTCTTTTTCTGCTTAAGCTTTACATGATTATTAAAATAGCAAGTCTGATCTATTGATGTTATTGCTCATATACAAATTACCGTACTCTTCAATGGTAAAAAGAGGCACTAACGACCTGATTTATGCTTTCATCAATAATATTCTGCAGCTTTCATACACTTGATATTAATTGCCATTGAGTTTTTTCTGGCACGTGTACAATAAGTAAGATTTATATGCATCTCTAATGAATATGATGCATCTGAATGGTCACTGAGACTGGCATTAAATTTTACAGGTATCCCACATTCTTTGACGATATTGTGGCGCGTCTGCTTCCAGTTATTCCATTAATAGTTTATAGACTTATTGAAAACGATGCCATTGATTCAGCTGAAAGAATTCTGGCAAAGTATTCAGCGTTTCTTGCTTACCACCCCCTAAGATTTACATTTGTACGTGACATACTTGCATATTTCTATGGCCATCTTCCTGGAAAGCTCATAGTCCGAATACTGAATGTTCTTGATCTCAGCAAGGTAAAGACATTATTCTCCTGTTCATTCCTTTGATAATACGGAAAATACCTGTTTTGCTTCTTATAATTACTTCATCAATTTAAAATTTTGTTTCAGATCCCATTTTCCGAGTCATTTCCACAACACATTAGTTCATCAAATCCTGTTATGTGCCCACCTCTCGACTATTTTGCAACTCTTTTGTTGGGACTTGTAAATAATGTTATACCCCCATTATATAATAACTCAAAATCAGGATCAGTGTGCGATGCTTCAAGTAGTTTGTTACGGGCCACGCATAGCAAGAATCCAGCAACATCTCAGTCTGGACAAACAAATGCTTCTGATAGCCAAAAAGCTTTTTATCAAATTCAGGATCCTGGCACGTATACTCAACTGGTTCTTGAAACGGCAGTTATTGAGATACTCTCACTCCCAGTTTCTGCATCCCAGATTGTATCATCACTCGTACAGGTCATTGTCAATATACAAGCAACACTAATTCAATCCAGCAATGGCCTGGGTGCTCCAAATGGTGTTGCGCAAGGGTCAGTGTTACCAACGTCACCTTCTGGCGGAAGCACAGATTCCTTGGGTGCAAGTAGATCAACTCCTTCAGTTCCAGGAATGAATACCTCTAACATGGTATCCAGAAGTGGTTATAGTTGCCAACAATTATCTTGCTTAATGATCCAAGCTTGTGGTCTTTTGTTGGCTCAGCTACCTCCGGATTTTCACATACAACTTTATATTGAGGCATCAAGAATAATAAAAGAAACTTGGTGGCTTACTGATGGGAAAAGGTCACAGGGAGAACTAGACTCGGCTGTTGGTTATGCTTTACTAGATCCAACATGGGCTGCTCAAGATAACACCTCAACGGCAATTGGTATGCTCTTGACCAACAAACCTCCTCAATTTCCTTTTCTGAAGTACTATTGTTTAGAAATGTCATCACATTTTAATTTGTACAAAATGTTAAGCCTCAATCATTTGGAAACTTAAAATGCCTAGTCTCATCTTCCTTTCCAAAAGGTTTCACTTTTTGCCCCTTTGTCAATAGAATATGTCTAGGGATGGACCTGATGAAGTTACGGCTTATGATTAGGTTCTTTACAATATCTCTAGGGGATGAAAGCTGAAGTTATGAGTAGGTTCTTTATCTCTCTTTGCCGCATGCTCCATGAGGGACATGGTCAATTTTGAAGAAACCTTTAGCCTTTAGGAGACATATTCTTGGCTCGATTGAAATTAACAGTCAAAGTTTGTAGCCATACATTTTTCCATACCATGAAGTATTCTGGGGAAAACTTTTGTCAGTTGTGAAGAAACATTTAGGAGACCTACTGTTGAGACCATAGAGTACAGTAGTATCGTGGGCACAGACCTCACCTTACAAGAGGGAGGTCTTGGGTTCGAATCCCCTTGGGGCCACCTCCCATAGTTTGTCAAGGGGGTCCGGATAGGAGGGTCTAAATCCCCCTCAGGAGTTGCCAAGTGCTCTAAGAGGCTTGGACCTCCTGAGATATTAAAAAAAAAAAAGTATGGTGGGCACCATTTCCTTTCTGCATACATGATTAAGGTATCAGAGATTGTAATTCTTTGCCTTCAATACTTTGGTTTGAAAAGACTCCTAGTGTATGTCTCGAGCTTCAGTCCAGACAAGTAACATGTATCAATGTAGCTCTTGTTGGACCTGTATGAAGATTGGTTTGCTGTTTTACAAGTGCATGTGGGTTATGTGAACTCCCCTTTTGACCCTTATGCCCGATATAATGAATATAGATCTTATCTACTTATGTATCGAACTTGATCTTTTGCTGTCCATATGTATTCCGGAATACTAACTCTATTCATGTCGTATTTCCAGGCAACATAGTTGCCTTGCTTCATTCTTTCTTCAGTAATCTCCCACAGGAATGGCTAGAAGGGACCCATCTCATTGTCAAACATCTGAGGCCAGTGCAATCAGTTGCAATGTTGAGAATAGTGTTCCGCATAATGGGTCCATTGCTCCCAAGACTTGCCAATGCTCATTCACTTTTCAGCAAGGTAAAACCGACTTATTTCCAACCATTGTGGATGCATTCTAAGTGGGATTATAACCAACTATCTAGAGTTGTTTTAGATAGTTTTCCTACAAGTGTGATAAAAAAGAAATTAAAAAAAAAAAAAAACGTTTATCTTTCTTTTGTTTGTTCCTGTTTTGTAATGTCCAATAACCTGTGAAACAATCCCTCATCTTTTGCACTCAAATTCTTTTGTTTATAGCAACAATTGCAAATCTGCATAGTTAAAGGTAACTTTATCGATGTTTTCTTATTAAAAACAATGGGTTATAACTTTTTTTTGCTTCATCGTTGGCATAGCAATATTAGAAACAAAACCTTTGGTAATGTTGGTATGTGTTGTGTGGGAAAATGTGCCGGACACCTGGACGGGCGATAGTGCGACACGTGGCCTTAACTACTCCCCACAAAGCAACAACGCTCGACGTCTACAGCTCTAAAGAGCCCAAGCACGAAGCTCAACTCCGGGCGACGATTCCTTCTGGCGTCGACTGATCGTGCCGTCGAGCGTAAGACGCAAAGATCCCTCGACCGCATAATCGACCACCAAGAAGGACGATTGGGTTAAGCGGCGTCGCTGGCGACGAGGGAAACGTTCTCCAGAGAACGTGGCAAGTTGCGTACAAAGGTGGCGGACGTCAGCAGACATTAATTGCAAGCTTTTAAACTGCCCCACAGGGAACAGGATAGTGTTACAGGGGCGCACAGAGCCGTAATGGAAGACTAATTGGCTGAGTGAACAGTGCTGATTAGTGGGCTACTTCTGGGCCTAAAAAGGGAGAGCACTTGAGTGCTTTTGCCTAGGAGGGAAACCCACCTAGCGAAGAAAGCTCGGTATAAAAGAAGGGTGACCCCCTACGAGGAGGGGGTTGAGATCCAAGCAGAGAAAGAAGAGAATGAGAGATAGCAATTAGTGTAAATTGTAATTCCCTCAAAAACGAAATATACAACCACAGTGGATGAAGTTCTAATTTTACAGGGTGAACCACTATAAAATTTCGTGTCTTCTTTATTTTTGCACATCCAAAAACAATAAACTTTCATACACATTCAATACATAGGCCGGTAATCCAAAAGGAAACCAAGAGGTAACCCGGCCAGTTTTTGTTGACGAGAAACCACCGTCAACAATTGGCGACTCCACTAGGGACCGGAAGCGTTCGACCCCCAACAACATAGTTAGCAAGCGCGCCTCTAAGAGAGACGGATGGAACCGCCATCCATTCAGGGAATAGCGGGATGGAAGGAGATCTACGCCCGGTCGGAGACGAAGTCCCACCCCCAGACGCGCAACGGCCGGATCCTGTGCAGATGCAGGCCCAACTGGCCACTCTAACTGAGCTGGTACGTGGGCTGATGACCGTGGTTGAGCGCTTAGACGGGAGGAACTCTATGCCGCCGTTAGAAGACGCCTCGAGGCTGCAGGAACCTGCCATGCCTGGAAACCCGAACCCCGGGGACCACCCACGCATCCAAGAGGAAACCGGGGACAGTGAGAATCACCGGGGCCCTCCTAGGCCTCGGCCTTCCCAATCCTCTGGCAGCCGGTTAAGGGCCGCCGGACTCCGAGCTCCCGAGGACCGAGCACTGAGGGGTCCGGGAAATCCCGAGGTATTACCTCAGAATCCAGGAGGAAACCCGCTAGGAGACTCGGGATCAGTACAGGCGGGCGGCTAGGCCAGGGGCAGACCTAACGCTCAGAGGGCAGAGGCGTCGAGATTAGCTGGCTCGGCCGTTTCAACAGAAGAAGCACGCTCCATCATGGAACGTATGGCCAGTCTGGAGCAAAAACTGACCGGGGACGTGGCAGGTCTAAAAAAGAACATGGGGCGAGTGGCTGAGGTGGTAAACGTCGACATCACGCCCAGCCGCGCACATGACCATCCGTTTACCGAAGAGATAATGGCGCCCCCTCTCCCTGATAAATATAGGTCGCCGTCGATCCCACCATATGATGGCCGAGGGGATCTCGTCGACATCACGCCCAGGGCACATGCTCTTACACGGGTACGCTGATGAGATCATGTGCCGAGCCTTTCGAAACCATTTGACGGATTCTGCCCGAAGATGGTTCCGGACGCTGAGACCAAACTCTATCTCGAGCTGGAATGAGTTGAAGGAAGCATTTTCTCTCCAATTCATAGGAGTTAAAAAGTACGTCCTCCCGAAGCAGAATCTGACGGCAATATACCAAAAACCGAACGAGCTATTAAGGGAATGGCTCGCGAGATATGGCGAAGCGGTCGCCGCTACGACGGATATAACAGACAGAGAGGCCTTGATGGGGCCTTATCTAGCATGAAGAAAATTACCCCCTTCAAAAGAGAGCTGAACCGGAAGCCCCCGTCCAGCTACAGAGAATTTCTGGCGCGAGCGCAGGGATACATCAACGCTGAAGAAGCGGACGCAAACGACCCCGAGCACAGGTCCAACAAGAATAAAGGAACTGAACAAGGGTCGGCGCCTGCGAAACAGGACGCGAAGAAGCGTCGAGGTGGAGGAAGCGGAGACAAGTAGCCCGCTGCAACGACGAGCGCTCCAGAAGCCAAGGCAAGAAGAGAGCCGCAAGCCTCGGCTGTTTCAAAGGTATGATTCTCACCACGAACTGACAGTAGGAGTCGAGAAGGCTTTTAATCAGGTCGGCCGAGAAAACCTGCTGCGCCGACCAGAACCAATGAAAACGGATATCCCAGCCGGAGAAACCAAAAGAAATTCTGTAGGTTCCACGGTGATGTCGGCCACCACACCAACGACTACGCCGACCTCAATGACGAAATCGAGAGAGTAATCCGAGAGGGAAGGTTACAAGAGTTCAGGGCCGAACGAAGACCCCGACATGACGGCCACGGCGGGCAAGGTGATGGTCAACGCCGAGAGGAGAACCAGCGTTCAGAGGATCGTGAACCCGTCGGCGTCATACGAACTGTCCTCGGCGGCCCCTATATAGGAGGAGATTCAAGGAGGTCTCAGAAGGACTACGCCCACGAAGCCAGAGGGGTTTACCAAGAGCGATTCTGGAGCGTCTCCACTGCAAAAACCCCAAGGTACAGCCACACCGACGTAGCCTTTAATGAGGACGACGCTAGCGGAATCCACTTCCCCCACAACGACGCATTGTGGTGGAAGCCATGATAGGGAACCACACCGTGTGCCGAATCCTGGTAGACAATGGGAATTCGGTGGACCTCCTATACTCCGACTGCTTGGAGAAAATGGGAATCCAAAAGGAACAATTGGAAAAGACCTCCAGGCCACTATATGGTTTTACCGGGGACTCTGTCATCCCCTAGGGGACCATTCGGTTGCCTATTACCGCCGGAGAGAAACCCCGATAGGCTACCACAATGGCCAACTTTGTGGTTATAAAGGGAGGCTCCCAGTACAACGCCGTAATTGGGAGACCAACCCTCCAGGCGCTAAGGGCCATAACTTCCGTCTACCATCAAAAGGTCAAGTTCCCTACCCCAAATGGTGTGGGCGAGATAAAGAGCAACCAGTATAAAGCTATGGTCGCATACTCCGATGCCCTGCGCGGATATGACCAGCCGGGAAGGCAGGAGGCTAGGGTGGTTTATCAGAACCCCGTTGAGGACATAGACCCCAGGGTTCAAGAGGAGGTCACATGGTCTCAACCCATCGAGCAATTGGTGGAAATTCAAGTTGATGAAGGCGAGTCCACCAAAGTGCTGAAAATAGGCTCAGACTTAGCCCCATCGCTTAAAATTGAGATCGAGGGCTTTCTTAGAAAAAACTTAGATGTCTTCGCTTGGAATCACGTTGACATGGAAGGGATCGACGTCGACATTATATGTCACTCCCTAAACGTCGACCCCTCATATCTCCCAAACGCCAGAAGCGTCGACCAATGAACCCCGAGAGATATGAAGTGCTGAGGGAAGAGGTCGACAAACTAATCAACAATGAGGCCATCAGAGAGGCCCATTACCCACGTTGGGTCTCAAACCCCGTTTTGGTAATCAAGCCTAACGGAAACTGGAGTACATGCGTCGACTTCAGCGATCTCAACAAAGTCTGCCCAAAGGATGGCTCCCACTTCCTCGAATAGACCAGATTGTTGACGCTACGGCGGGACATGAGACGCTGAGTTTTACGGACGTTTACTCCGGATACAACCAGATCCCCATGCATCCAGCCGACGAGGAGCACACGTCCTTCATAACCGACATGGGCCTCTACTGCTACAAGGTGATGCCATTCGGCCTGAAAAATGCAGGTGCTACCTACCAACGGCTTGTGAATAAGATGTTTGCTCAACAGCTCGGCAAAACCATGGAGGTATACGTCGACGACATGCTTGTAAAAAGCGCTAGAGCCAGACAGCACGTCGACCATCTGGATGAAATGTTTGGTGTATTGAGAAAGTACCACATGAAACTAAATCCCCAGAAGTGTGCCTTTGGAGTTGGGTTAGGAAAATTCTTCGGTTTTATGGTCAGCAGCTGAGGGATAGAAGCTAACCCTGAGAAGATTAAAGCCTTGCAAGATATGCGATCCCCAACCAAGTCAAAGGAAGTGCAAAGGTTGACAGAATGTGTCGACGCCCTGAACAGATTTATATCAAAAGCAACAGACAAATGCATCCCCTTCTTCGACGCTTTGAAGGGAAGCAAACGTTTTGAGTGGACACCTCAGTGTGAAGAGGCCTTCCAGGGATTGAAGGAACATTTGGGCAGGCCCCCAATTCTGTCAAAACCAAACCCCGATGAGGAGCTTAGCCTATATCTCTCCGTGTCCCAACACGCGGTAAGCTCCGTGCTGATACGGGAGGAAGAAAGGGTGGAATTGCCAATCTATTATGTGAGTAAGAGACTCCTCGACGCCGAATCAAGATACAGCGAAATGGAGCGCTTAGCCCTCGCCTTGATGGTGGCTTCAAGAAAGCTTCGGTACTATTTCCAATCTCATACCATACGGGTTCTTACAAACCACCCGTTGAGGCAGGCTCTACAAAAGTCTGAAACT